GAATCTGTGTATTGCATTTTACTAACCATGATATATTTCAGCACATTGACTACATAGCATTATAATCTATTTTGAGTAAAGAGTTTAGGGAAAAATAACTGACGTGACTGATTCTGAATTCGAGAGGTTTTGGCGTCTATTGAGCCGCTTCCAAGTTTCACAGCTGATTTTTTGAAAAGTAGATTCCTTTTCCAAAAAAAGTAGCAAGAAAGCACCTTTGTTACTCAACAAAGTAGAGCCATCACTTTTACGGATAATGGTCCCACTCAGAGCAGTTGGTGGTAAAGTCAACTGTTGTTCATGCATATGCTGAGCTCTCTTCCCTCCTTGTGCCTGTTTTTACTCATTTACTTTTCTCTGCCCAGAATATTCCCCTCAACCTTAGAAATCCCCACCTATTAAAATCCTACTCATGTAAGGCTCACTTCAAATACCAACATCTTTTTTAGGATGACTTCTTTGCTACTTAAAGCCATAACAGTACATTTTCCCCTCTGATATAGCACTTACTATATTTTTTATTTCAATTACTTTAGCTTTTTGTGTCATTATCCTACTCAGCTTTAAAACTCCATGAATATAAAGACTGTGTGTTGTTTGTCTTTGCCCCCTCCAGAGTGAGAGCCAACACAAACCTTGCACATTTGTACTTAATCATCTTTAGGATTCCTTCTTCTCTTCATATTCTGTTTTCTAAAAAAGATTAATAGGACTTTGCATTTATTGTTTACATCTACCTTCCTCATCTCTCCATTTTATTAAAGTTTTATTTGTCTTTTACTTTCTCCTGTTGTGTCCATGAAAAAAATACTTAAGGAGAAAGTTACTATTAGGTACAATAGCTTGTTTATCTTAATAGCCCAAATCATCTTGGTTCAATGACTTGCTGGGGAGAAAATGGGTCAGAAATAAAATCATAAGCTAGGAAAGATATTTGTGAATGTCCACTGCCTTAGATTTATTACTCAAGCATTCATCAAAACATAGCACGCCCTGCAATTTCAAAGAAAAGATGACTTACATGAAAATTACAACTATTAGGTTATTTCCATTTGGAACAGTTTACAAAATTCTTCCCATTGCTATAGTGATGATGCATCATTAGGTATAATTTGCCCATTAATAGGAGCTGATTGATGTCACAATTACTTTGTAATGTTGATTATCAAGCTTTGCTAGTTAGGATTTCAAATATAATTCAGAATAAACTTTACAGATTGCTATTATTTACTAAAAGGGATTTGATAAATGTTGGATTTTTCTAATATGTTCTTTAAAAAGTTATATGTTTTATGTAAAATACTTCCTATTTGCCTAAATTCCATATAAGATTCTTGATAACTTAAGTCTGACTTAACTCCCTAACTTTACTTCTTACAACTTCCTGCCTTGTTCCTTTTACTCTAATTGATAAACAAAACTTATCATTTTGTTTCTGAAAAAAACATATTATTCACCATAATGTTTTTGCTTATGTCTTCCACTTTTCCTTGGTTATCTCTTACTCAATTCAGGTTTCATTTCCCATAGTTGGTCTGCCTTGGAACCTCAACTACTATGAACTGCCTTCATCTTTTTCTCCCTTGTTTTCTATTTAAGTACTCACGATCACTTCATATGTTTTACTGGAATTGTCTCTGCATTTGTCTTATATTCCCAATAAAACACAGACTTTGCAAAAGGAAAGCCACAACTTGACTTTTTATCATTTCCTAAAAGGGAGTCCTTCTCCTCATAAGACCTCCTATGTATGAAACTGTTCAAAAGCCCTTAAACTGATTTACAATTCCACTTATCATATTCATCTTTTGAGAGATAGCAAAACTGATGTGGTTACAACTTAATGTAAATAACAGAATTTAACTATTAGAATGTCTAAATTTATAAAATATCTAAATTATATGAATGGGAAATATAATTTATTTTCTTTCTGTTGATGATATAATCTTCAGGTGCTAGTTTCTTTTAGGGACAAAACAGTGCTTTTTTTATAAGTTTAATTTTAAGATAACTGTAGATTCACATCAGTTGTGGGAAATACAGAGAGATTCTATATGCTGTTCCCTTAATTTCTCCAAGGATGCTGTCCTTTAATTGGCATTTAAATTTACATCAAGGTGTACACATACAAAACTGTAAGTTATTAATCAAAAAATTGTCAAACAAAATTCTATTGCTCTTTTCCAAAAATACTTGTATAGGCAAACTTGATCATGCTCATCAAAGAACAGAGAACACTAGAGAGATTCTTTATGAAAAATAGAGAAGTCCTCTGGACTTGAGTTTCTCAGAAAATCACTCTCACATTCACAAATATTTGTAACAAAGGCAGTCATTGTCAATGCCCACAAGATTATCAAATTATGACTGACTGACATATGATGTATCCAAAAAATTATTTTCAGAATTTGAATGAATCTTACATCACCTACATCTTCCCTCTTTCTATTTCGAAGTATTCTGAACCTTTCCAGGATAGCTCTAACTAGTCATAGAGTGGGATAGTGGTTAATTGATTGATGAATCAATTGATGATCAAGTGGTTAATTGATTGATGAATTTCTTGAATATTGACTTCCTATTTTGTGCAAAGCAGAACGAAACCCACAGATTTCCAAGCTAACTATGATCTACCATGTGCAATACACTCTCAAAATAACCAGTCAAGGATTTAGTAATATTTATATCATAATATGTTTTCTGTTCCCAACTTAGTCTGTTACTATAGCTTAATCTCACCTTAAAGTCTTTGCTAAATCATCCTTCATTCCTTTCCATTCTAACAGTTTCCAGTTACAAAATCATACATACATAGGGAACACCTTGCAATTTACTGGCAGTGTTTACATTTCCTCTTGAGCAGGCAAAGTAAATAGCAGCCTAAATATTTTGTCCAAGATTCCTAGCATCTGCCTTGCTCCATATCTTCTGCTTATGACATAAAGTCCATGAGAATTCTTTTTCTTAAAATCAGACATGTTCTCTGTGGTATTCCTGTTAAACAATATTATCTTGATGAGTCATTTTGTCAGATGGTTTTCCAACAAGATTCCTAAAACATGAAAGAGAAAGGAGATATGAGGTAGAGGCAAAATAGTCAGAGATTCTAAGCAAGATATTCTAAAAGCCAAGATTCAAATGTTGGATCCATCATTCCTGGCCTGTGTTGTTTTATGACCTTAGATGTGAGTTATACAACCTCAGTATCCTCCATTTTTTTTCATCTGCAACTGAAAATAGCAGTACCTCCTTGTAGGATTGTTATGAGAACTAAAGAAATAAACTGCAAAAAAAGTATGTCTTACAATGTGTAAATGCATGTGTGTGTAGGAGTTCATACCTTAAAGGAACTACCAGCGTATAGAAAATGGATGTTAAAAGTCTCCTTCATCCTTCATCATCTTTCCTTAGTTTGAGTTTGTCAATAAAAATCTATCTTGCTCTAATAATGAGAGAGTGTGCTGTGTCAGGCAGAGGCTTCCTTCAGGATACCTAAACAGAATGGTCCCTGACATGTAGCTCTGGCACAAGTCTTTCTGGTTATGCCAACTTTGCATGGGGGAATGAAAGCATGTCTATTGACCTCCACATGGCTCATCAATGTGTGAAAAAAAGGCAGCCTTTCATGTCTTGAAAACAAGCCAGTCTTTCCTATTGGAAAGAGTATAAATACACAGTTTATCAATCCTATTCAGGATGATATTTCTTATGCTAAGGAATATATGATGAACAATAACATATGTCTACTTCCAGATTGTATGGGCTAAGTCAGTAGGAATTTGTGTGTTCTGTTCAGAAAGAAAGTTCCAAGATCTAGAACTCTTAGAGGAAAACTTCCCTCTAATAATAATTAAGAAGTCACTAAGCTCTAAGCAAGTTTTAATTATTTCATATGTATCTCTGATTTAATCCTCACAACAGGACTATGAGGGAGCTACTCGTAGGTTGCCCATTTTACAAATGAAATTGAGATGCTAGGCAGTTCAGGGACATCTGCTACAGTCATAGCCCAGAAAATGCGAAGCCAGGATTCAGACCCAGCCGCTCTGGATCCATAGGCATCTGATCATCACAGTGCAGCTTCCTACCCGAGAGAGCTTTCCCAACAGTCACAACATAAGAAGTGAGTGCCCGAGGCCTATTTAACCTGGACTACCAAATGCCTTTTCTCTAAGAAACTTTTCAGATAAAAGTATCTCTAGATGCACCAACCGAAACTCATATGTTAGGGGGAAAAGGTCTCATCTGTCAGTTCCGAATTCCCTCCGTTTTTCACTCTTTCCAGAAAACAAGACAAAACAAAACAAAAATAAACTATAAAAAAAACACACGCACACAGAAAACTTAATTTTTTTATTCTTTCCAGAAAAATAAAGAAAACTTTAAAAAATGCTGATGGATTTCCTCCCAAACCAGAGTCGTGATCCCACTGTGTTAAAGATAATGTGGGTGTGGGATTAGTCACTCTGTACCTCAAAATGTCAACACATCTGCCGAAGATCAATTTATCAGTTACATGTAGCCAAAAGATTTAGTTTATCTAACTGTCCTACAAAGAAGAAATAGTTTACCACTGTTTTTACAGATTGAGGCAAATCTGACATATTACTGACATATGCTACAGATTTAATTTAATACCATAATACAGATGTGTGCTCTGATAAGTTTTTTGTGAAATCTAGACTAAGATGAGTAGAGTTGTTTCAATATTTATGGGGTTGAAAATGCAGAGTTAGCAAAGGAAGCATTTTAATTAAAACAATATTTCCCCATATGCTCAGGGTAAAATACAGGGGAATTCTTTTAAAGAACTACTACCTGTCTTTATACAGCTTCTGGATTTTTAGGCACATTGAAAGAACTTGGCATTTTATTTCCAATTTTAAAAAAGAAATTTTATTTAGAACCATCAAAAATAAACTCAGTCGTTTCTTCTCATTTTTCTTTCTCTCAAATGAATTTCTCTTTGTAATGTAGCCTTTTGTGATTGTATGTTTCAGGTATCCTGAAGATAACTTCAGTTGAAATCGGAGTTGTTGCAGTCAAAGCCATTAACAGCAACTATTATTTAGCCATGAACAAGAAGGGGAGACTCTATGGCTCAGTAAGTATTCTGCTTTTATTTTCAAAATTCACTGCAGTAAATTAGTACCACAGTTTTGGACTGTTTCCCAAAGACCTTGAATAGCTTTGTTATCGTTCCATTGCTAGTAAATAGAGCCACAGTGGGCTGCTCAGCACAGTTTCAAGGGCTGGCAGAGTAGCTCTTCCAACTCTATAATCTCCTCTTGTTCACCCATTAGCCTACCATCAGCCAGTGTTCTGGATTGCTCACCAGTCAGACTCTCACGAAAGCATCTGGTCAAACTGGCACAGGCACTGCAGACAACTTAGAAAGGATCAATGAGAACAAAAATCTTGAGTAGAAAACCATATAATGTGTATGTGTTAGAGCTGGAGATGGAATAGAGACTTGGGCGTTTTGTATTCTGTTAATATCTGAAATGGAGAGACATATCAAAAAATTTATTGTTTTGTGTGCCATGCAAGCAACTCTAGAATTTTGTCTACCCAGACAAGAGTGATTAACTCCATTATGGACCTGGTTTCCAGCCGGTGCTTTGATTATGTACATCCTGGTGCCCCATAGCCAGAATCAGGAAATGTTACTTTAAAATGTGTACATAAACTTCTTTTGTTAATGAACATAAAGATGGGAGTGCCAGTAGCTCTCAAACTTGACCATGTGTTCAAATCACTGGGCTTATGAAAACACACTCGCAGATTTTCTGATTTAGTACGTCTGCGTAGGATCTAAGAATTTGCCCTTTTAACAAGGTCACGGGTGCTCCTGATGCTAGTGGTTTGGGAACCACAATTTGAGAATCATTGGAACTTGATTCCATAATTGGTCTGGGGATAGAACAGCCTTGTATTTCATTTATATCAGGTCCACTTATGATTGGAAAATCAGACATATGTTGGGTCGGTACCCTTGGGTGAGGCTGGGGGAGTCAGAGAAATTTTACTTGAAAATTTCCAATATATCTTACTCTACAAATGAGCCTAGAAGAGTATTTGAGAAAGTTTTTTTATTCAAACGGCATACTCATCTTCGAGGGATTTTTTTCTTTTTCTTTTCAATGAATGTGCTCAGGTCTCTCCTTAATGTACTATTACCAGAATTGCTGGGTAAGAGGACCAAGTGTATGTATATTCCTGAAAGAGCAACTAATATGCACACTCAATCAAAACCAATGCTATAAAGCCAGCTAATATGAGTTTAGATTGAGGGGTAAAATGTAAATAAAAGAAATTCAAAACATTTTTCTAAACTCAGTCTCTACTTTAAGATCTTGCTCTAGCCTAGATTAAAAAAAAAAAAAAAAAAAAAAAAAAAAAAAACACAAAAAAACATGTTAACACGATTTACCTAAATGCTATAAATGATAGATTCCTGAGGCCTCCTGTGGAGAATCTGATATAGCATGTGAGCTACAGTCTAAATATTAAAAAAGCCTGAGATGAGGAGTCTGCTACAGGTTTAGCTCACTTTAAGAACAACTGTTGTATAACATTTTTGTGAGGAGAAAAAATTACTTTTCTACACAGCCTCTTTAAAATATAAAATTTTTCAAAAGTTTCTCTATCCTCCCAGTCTCTAAACTGCACCCCATTTAGTGAAATGAATGTAATTATGTGTGTAAAAAATTATATCTGCTTCGAAAACCACATTTAAATATTACTTTATAGAAGAGAAGCACATAGGATAAATTAATTCCAGGTAACAAAGCTTAAACTAACCACATTAACATAAACTAACTATTTATGATGATTCTGCTAATATTCACTAGCCCACAGAAACCTGGATGTTTAAATATACAGATGTTCAAGAGTTATATATTAAGTAGAAATTTCAAAAAGTACTGAGGTGAGCGAAACTATTTGAACTGCCCAGTAGACCTCTCAACTGAAGGATGCCTACATTGCCATTGGTTTGGCTGGAGAAGGTAGAATCAGGAGAGCAAAAGCCCCTAGTCTTAACTTCTTGACTGTGTTAATTTGGGTATAAGGAAAGAAGGACATTTTTGAAGCCAGGGTCTAGAAATTAGTGAGGCACCTCCCCTTCATTATTAACTCCAGAGTGAGATCCTGGATTTATGGAATGAATAAGACATCAATCCTTGTCCCAAAAGATCCCCTTAAAAACACATGGTCACTTGAAACAAAGCCAAAGCACTATAGCTATAGAGTGGAATTTCCCAAGATCAAAGTCTTCAGGGTTATACAACAGTGTCAGTGCTAGTCACCATATTTATAATTTCTTTGATATGGTAATTCACAAAGTAAAGCATTCCATGTCCTAGTTTTCCTAAATCTCATAATAAAACCTATCAAAATTCCAAATTATGGACAATTGTAAATAATTTTACAAAAGTGAGAAATCTGGTGTTTAGAAGAGAGAAAAGCACACTCATTTCTCCCCTGGCTGCATGGTTATCTAGAAATATTATGAGAACTTCTTTCTCATCAATGTGGGTGTGTTTATTGTGGATTTATAGGTAAGTAAAGTTTAAAAACTTGAAAAACCTACCTTTTTCTTATAATTCAATTTTACCCATGAGGCACCCTAGTCATTACTCTTGAGAGGGAGGGGGTCGAAGAAATAATAACACTTCTTGATCATTGACTCATCATAAATATTGTTAGTAGAATGTCTATTTCAGGATAATTATTCTAGGCATTTAAACCACGTCATATTCAAGGCATGCCTGCTTTGTAAAAGGGACTCAGTATGTGTCTATGATGATCGATTAAAGTAAATAGTCTGTCTTCACACGTAGAATCTGCTTTGTAGTTATGAGTTATGAGTTTTACCCCCTACTGTTGAATTTGTGTTATTAAATACACACCTTGCCTACAAATGTCAACAGCACACAAACCCCCGAATTGGGGGTCTACAGCTGGCTCCAGGCCAAGGGAACCAAGTACATTAACATAAGAATAAGAGATTTGGGGTTTTTCTTTGCAGAAAGAATTTAACAATGACTGTAAGCTGAAGGAGAGGATCGAGGAAAATGGATACAACACCTACGCATCCTTCAACTGGCAGCACAATGGGAGACAGATGTACGTGGCGTTGAATGGAAAAGGAGCTCCCAGGAGAGGACAGAAAACTCGCAGGAAAAACACCTCCGCTCATTTCCTTCCAATGGTCGTGCACTCATAGAGGCGGCCAGTGCTTGTGGGTGCCATGGAACCGAAGGCTCTTTGGCCAGGAAGTGTGGGTATTCTTCATGAACACAGCAGCTCGACAGGCAAAGACGCATGGCAGGCGTCTGCTTGCTTGACAGAAAGGAAGTCTGTAAAGGCTTTTGTACACACTGCTGATGTATGATGTTCCTTTCGTTAGTTCTGTGTCATGCCTTATAATCCAGATAGAGGCGGATCAAGTGGAATAGAAGTTACTCCTAAATGAACAACATTGTGGCTGGGGTTTTTTTTGGTTAAGTTTTTGTTTATGTTTGTTTTTGTGTTTTGTTTTTTAACCTCTGAGATAGAACTTAAAGGACATGGAACAATCTGTTGAATGATCTTCAGAGAAGTTATTTATGGAATATGAACTCATGTCAAAGACTTTCGTTGCTCATTCCAGCCGAGTGATTCAATGAGCAGGAAGACATGCAAGCATTTACTGGAAAGCACTTGGGTCATGTTCTGTGCACAACCAAAGGAGCTTTGGGCGTGGCGTCGTGGAGCATTGGGTAGGGTTAAAAGATGTACACGTGTTAGTGTAAAACTGTCCTAACAAAGCAAATAGTATGGTATGCTTGTGCATTCTGCCTTCATCCCTTTCTATTTCCTTCTAAGTTATTTATTTAATAGGATGTTAAATATCTTTCGGGGTTTTAAAGAGTGTCCTCAGCAGCTGCCCTCTGATTGGCCTTTGCTTTTTCTTCAGCACACCACATGCATGTTCACGACAAAGTGATTTCAGAACTTGGCAAACACTTCGAGAGCAGGAGATGGCACGGGAGGAGCAGTGTGAGTGCACCCAAGGGCAACTGGTTGATTTCATCTGCACCTCTGTGATGACAACCGTCAACCCCCCCACATGACATTGCTGGGACATGGCATGAGTGACAGATGTCTGCCATCATTTACAAACATGTATCACTGCTAAGGCTTTCTTTCCTAAGAAATAGATCAGAAGGCTAAATGTTTCCCTTCCGATACATCAGTGGGTCTCCAAGGATATATAAAAGAAGGAAAATTGTTTGTTAAATACACCTTAGTGGCCTAGCCTCATTTTTGACTAATGATTGTCTGCTACCTGCAGTAGTGGTAGGCGAGGAAGAGGCTGTCTTTATAAGTCCCTGTTGTGCATCTCCCTCAAAGAAACTCTCGAGGAATTTGGTAAAAGTGCAAGTCTCCCAGAAGCTTAATCTGAGCAAATATATCCTGGTATATGTGTAACCACATACTGAACAACCTGTTCAAGCTGTATAATCTAGTCTCTACAAAACCAAATAAAACATCTTCTCTGTAAAGTCAAAGAGCTTTGGAAGGTTCCATAATGTAACCATATCGAAACTCATTCTGGTAGAGCAGGTATAGGAAACAGGACATAAGAGTGTACCGGACAACACACATTGTACTCCACTAAATAAATACTTAAGCCTTATTTGCAGTGTCTGTAGTGATTTTAAAAAATGTAGAAAAAGACTATTTGTTCTAACTATTTCAAGTGATAACTATAAGAGTGTGTTGATGCTGTTTTGCCCTCATACTTCTTGTTTTAAAAAGGCCTGTTTACTTTATTGTTTGGACATGGTATTTTGGTACAAGAAAAAGGCTTCACTAAATGTGTCTCTTTACTAAAGTTTAACTTCTAGAAAGGCTGGTGTTTTTGTGACTTTTTCTTATACCTTAATTGTGTCAATGTTTAACCAGCAATTCCATTTAATCTGTTATTTAACAATTAGCTTTCTTAAGAAACTCTCCCATAAAATAATCTTATAAAAGGTCTTATTTTTTTTCTCATTTTTTTAAAAAAAAATGGTATTTCAAGAGAAATGCATTTGAGACAGTGAATAGGCTATGGTTAACATGGCCTTTCATGGTACCTGGCTTCTAACTTGCTTTTTTAACAAATGGGATGCTTAAAAAAAAAGTTAAGTTTTGTGGTTGGAATCTAGATGCTCACATTTAATTGGTAACTGAGTCTGCAAGCTGTAGTGTAATGCATTCCTATCAGAACTAGATTGTCTTGGTTCTTTTATTTTACAATAATAATTGCACCTGACATATGAAGATGGACCACCCACAGCCCAAATTAAATGTTTAATGAGACAAATACAGTATTAGATGACCACAGCAACAGCAAATAGGGCACAAGCTGGACTCGTGTTTCACACAGCCGTTTAGATTACCAAGGAGACCGTGTAAGCAGTCGTCATTATAGTATTCAAAACACTATAACAGCTTCTGGCAAAATGTATCAAAGCTGGCAGAAGCCAAAAATAGAAAACATCTCCCTTCCTTCTCCCCCCAAAATACACACACAGGCACACACACACACACACACACACACACACACACACACACACACACGAGCACAGAGAGTCTGATAAGGAGTACTGAGATTCTCCTGCATTTAAAAATGGCATCTTTGCCCAATATGAAGACAGAATACTGGACCCCTTTTTGCAGTTGAATTGTGCTAATGAAGGAAAAGCAGTTCCCACCCTGAATATTGTACATATATTTTAAAAAGCATCATTATTTCGGGAGTTCCTCCGCGCACCCCCACACAATGTCAAGGTACATCAGCCACAAATGTGTGTCATCTGAGTGCTGGACTCCTTGTGACAATATAGAATCCCCCCCTCCTCCCACCTTCCGAAAGGCTGAACAGTGTATAGCATGTTCCATTTAAGTAAACGAATAAAAATGCTGGGAAAAGAAAATTAAAATAGTGTGCTTGTTTGTTTTATTAGCCTAAAACGATACCTGGAAATACAGAGAGAAGCTTGAGTGTGCCTGGCAGGATGTGGTTAAATGCCCCACAGCCTCCAACAACAACAACAACAGAAAAAACATCGCTCAAACATTTGTAAGATTTCTTTAATGTTTTGCATGTGTGAGGCAGCTATCCTTCCTCTAATAACAACCAAATGCGTTCGGCTTCTCCTGAATACGCAGGTCCACCTATTTACACAGTGGATGGAGAAGGATGAATTGAAAACAAGGATGGCTTGTGAAACAATGAGACGTTTTGGAGGAAAGCCAGGAGGCTGCGAAATCTGATTTCAAGGGCATAGAGTAGGCCCATGAACTTGATTTGAAAAGTAGAGAAAAGAATTCAACATAATAATTTGGATCCGGGGCCCAAGCGAGGTTACAGACACTATTTAAATTGATAAACATTTGTGCTGCACAGATCTAATAATGTTGATGTTGTTCATTCAGGATTTAGGCGTATTCACAAAAGTACATTTCATCTTTTCTATCAGTGAAGTCCAAATTTTGTGTAAATAAAGATGTCTGTAGGAAGCCATGACCTATTTAAGGAAAGATATCAGTAGAAGGAGCCCATTCACATGCAAATATCACATTCATTCAGAATTCCTGTCTATTTTACTAGATAGGACTTCTGCAACTTAAACTAAGCAGTCAGAAAAAAGAGGGATGTTTGGGAGGAATACTGGGCAGCTCTGTGTTCCACCAGCACTGGACACAAAGCACCTATGCTCTGCTCCCTGTGGCTCTCATGTCCTCTGATCACTGACTGGCTTTATGTTCTCCACTATTCCTTGCATCCAATTTACTTCCTTCCAACTCCAAAACCTTTTTCTAAGATCCCACAATAGAAACAACCTAGGATGACTTGCATCAGCCACATCTAAATAACGTACCCATCTCTAGAGCGATCTGTATGGCAAGGGATGCAGGCCTTGTGATGTTTCAATCACATGGCCAGAGAGCACAAGGTATGGGTTTTACATCCCACACAACAGGAACAAAAGAAATGCAGTGCACCAAAGGGCAGTGTTGGGCAAGGCAAAAGCAAAAATGGTCCTTAGCTACATCTATTTAAACGAGACTACTGACTTAAATATGCATCTTCTAATCTTGCATTTTTTTCACATGTCCTAATTAGCCTTCACCTATTTATTCAAATCAGAGATTTCAAGATCTTATTCTATAGTGCATTTTTTAAATGGGAAAGATTGTAGTTGTCTTGTCTTCTTTTGTTTTGTTTTAAAGCCAAGAATAGGGCCCTGACTGTAGCCAGGCTCGGTGTAATTCTGCAAACTTTAGAGAATGGTCATTGAGATGAATGCAAGTTTTTACGAAATCAAAAGGTGGTCCTCCTGCCATATATTAGTCTATATCACAACATGACGCTGTAAGTCTCTCTTTAAGTTTATCCCAAGGATATGTACTAGTATTTTCAAGTATATCAACATGTAGAATAAAATCTAAAAATGAAATGCCGTTTGCTTTTTTTCATTGTAAAATAAAAAAGAAATAAAAAGAAAAAAACCTGCTTTATATCTCTTATTCTGTCTTGTGTGCAATGGATGAGACAACAACAAAAAAACTTTATAACGAGCATTTTTCTCTTCTTTTGCTGATGTAGAAAAAAAACACAAAGATGCCCTTATAAGTGAATATCCACTAAAAACACCTTTGTGAACAATATGTATTTGCTAACATGGAATAATCATGATCAGACTAATGAGATCAGAGGCATTGACCTTATTCCCATGTGGCTAGTAGTGAACATTTCCATTTGTCTTTTCCTTGATAGCAGCTAAGGACAACAGTTCTAGACTCAAAGAGAAAGGCCATATGCCAGCTATCTATTCACGTGGCATGGATTATCTTACCTATTTTATTACCCCCCACAAAAGAGAATATGTTCCTGTTCTAATATAGGCAATTGCATCCTCTGGAGATGAGTGCAGCAAATGAAGGATCAAACCATCCCGTGTTCCTCATTACAACTGTAATTGAACATGTGCCTTCGTACGACTTCAGCGGTGACCCAGCTGCAGAATGGCCAATTGCAGCTAAGCCTCGCTGCCCTGAAGTTTGGTTTTAATTACCTTGCACACGTCTTCAGTGCCTAAATGATCTCACAATTTTCTAAATTATTTCGTTATCATTTCTGTGGTCAATTTCAGCTGCTGACAATGCAAATATTCTCAGAGGCCTTTCAAG